CCCCAAAACCCCAAAACCCCGTTGATTTTTATAAATGCTAAATTTAGGGTTTTTTATCAAAATAAATATAAAAATAATAGTGAAAGATTAGATATATTGTCATTGAAATTGGCAACTTCAGGTCTAGATTAGCAATTTATTTTCTTCTTTTGCTTTTATGATTTTGTTTGTAAGTTGTCAGAGGTTCCATCTGGACTTGGTCAGTCATATCCGAATTTCAAATTTTCACCACAAGTTATTTGGGGTCGAATAAAGTTAATAAATACATTTGATATTGACTATCAGACTTGTACTATGTCAAGGTAGGTTAAGGAGAATACATGGGTCTGACTAAAAATGTAAAGAGGGGCACATGACTTGAATATTTTTGAAACATAAAGAAATAAAATCTCACTAACCACATATCTATTAGGAACATAAAAAATTTACATTCTCTTATATAAACGTGCATAATACACGATAATAACGAGTGTATCTCAACTATTTCTCCAAAACTATTGAGTTTCTTAAGGGGCACTTTTGAAAACATCCGAGCCCCAAAATCCTAGATAAAGTTCCAAAATCCCATATAAAGTTATTAAAGTTATCAAAGCCCCTTCTAAAGCATTTTAGCGACAATCGCTATTGCGAGCATTATATTGAATTAATTAGCTTGTCTAAAAATAATGGTTCATATTTCTCATTCATTTTAAATTCTTCTCTCTTAGTAGAATCAGTTTCCTTGCATTATATAGTGTTCAATTGCATCCTTAAATTCTTTTTCAAACTACTTTAGGTCATCACTTCTTTAGAATGAGATAACTGAATAATTTACTTTTGATTTCTTTGTAACTGGATCAAGGGTAAACAAAGCTAATTTAAGCAATAGAATCAAGGAACTTATTCATTGGATTTGAAGGTATTACAAGGGAGTTAATAAATAAGAAAAGATTCTCCTATCGAAAGAATCCTCTAAGCACTAATGTATTCTCCTCTTATTGGAAGTCATTCAATCCCTTCAATAGACATCAAAGTAATATAGAGAAGTTCCTCGATGCTAGATTAAGAAGAAAAATAAGTGAAGACTTTTGAAGCCCGCACTAAATCGATTATCTTTGATAAGTTTATTTATTAATTTGTAAATTTTCTTTCTTTAGATGCTCTAACGATTACAGAGCTTTAGTAAGAGTGGTATCATCCAACTGTTTAGACGAAGCGATATTAGGAACAATTCTAGCTGCACTTCAACACCAACCTAAAAATCCATTGGACTGTCATTATTAATAGTGCCGATAGTGAACAGAGCAGTTGACTTAGTTACACCATAGTTAAATTAGTCAAAGTAATCACCAATAGACATTGCTCTTTTAGAAGGAGTAACTCACATCATGAAGACTTTGTTGTCTTTTATTGTATTCCTGTATCTAGTCTTCGGGTCCCTTAAGCCCTTCCTTGATTATATGTTTCTAAGATCTTTTATTGGTATAAGAAATGATAATAAAATCAACACTATCACTTCTAAAAGTTTCATTGAAAGGGCTCTCAGTATAAGTTCACTTCATTCCCTTTACTCTTCCCTTTGATTTATTTTTGGATTTCTTGCAAACTACTGGTTTAATCAGTGTAATTTTATCCTATTTTTAGATTTTTTTGAATCTATTACATGAATAGAATGACTTTCCATTGTCATTCTTCTTGACTACTTTAAGCTTCTCCGTACTTTATACTATAGTTAAATATTAATTTAGTTAGAGGGAAATAGTAGCGATAAATAATTTACATTCAATACAATTTTAGCAGCCATTACTAGCACAAACAACCCTTCAAATGTGCCTTCTTCAGGCTTATCATTTACCTTATGGGTCTTTAAATACTTGACCCAATTCTTGCCTCCTTTGATTTTACCCTTGTATCTTCAATAGTAGTAGAGTTTGTCTCTGCAAATGATTGATTTACTAGTAGTTGTGGACTTAATCAATATTATCTTGGTCTGCTACCTATTTCTATTCATTCCTTACCTCATATTTTTCTGTAACACATAAATTTATATTTAGGAAGGAGTAATCTACCTATATTTCAGGATCACAACCAAATGCAATTAAAATAATATCAGTATTAAGCAGGAGTGCTTGCTCCAATACAGCAATTTTTAATCAGATAATACGAGACCTGTTAAGATAAAAGCTGTACATATAGAAACTACCAAGTCCTAACCCGAGGTGATGAGAGTAATACGTATTGAATTAACTTCTAGAGTTACTGAAAACAAGAGGACATTGATCTACAGGTTGGTGATATCCACTCCAGCCATCTTTGCTTCGTTGCCTATGGCCAGCAAATGATATATTGATCAGCTCAATAACTAGAGCTAAATTAAGGGTAATACATGTTATTATAAGAATGTTTAGGTTTTCTGAATCAACAGGATGGAGAGGGTATTTCTCAATTTTTAGGTCTATCAAAAGTTTGCGTTTGGTATTTAACTTATTATTTAATTAAGAATATTTTATTTCAAACTGTCAGTGAGTTTAGCAGAAAGTCCATGCAGCTCAGGCATTGTTTAACCACATTCAATCATAATGTCTGTGAGGATGGTCCATTTGCATATTCAATAACTGTTTGAATAAATTCGAATGGTTCAATTTTCTCTAAAGCAAGGATAGCGCCCATCGATGTTGTTAAAGGGTCAAATGAAAAACCAGGCTAAGCGTTAACCTCCAGAATGAATGCTTTACAATTCGGGTCCTTTAGGTCTCTAAGGTTTGTGCGAATGTCGGCGCGCCCATAGCCAGTTCCTCCCATAGCTAAATATGCATCTCGTGCCAGATTCTTCAGCATATCTACTGCTTCTTCAGGAGCTGCGCAATACTTGTACAGACAATCTTTTTCTTCTGGAATTTTTTCGTTTTCATGAATACCATACCCAATCCAATAACTGTCAAAGTCCAGAATCTTTTGATCATTCTCGAGTGACTCGTTGAAAACACGTTCGGCCGGTAAGTAAATTTTGGTTCCTCTTTGCTTGTCCCCTGCAATCAAAACTGTGAACTCTCGACCTGGTAGAAAGCTTTCAATAAAGACTCCAGCTTTGCTTACATCCAACTTGAAAATTTCTTAGCATTGCAGCACTGCTTCCTCAAAGGTCCGACAAATCGACTTCCTTGATATTCCAATGCTTGCTTAAGAACATGATAACTTTACAAATAATGGAAAACCGACTTATTCCACTGCCTTCCTAACATCTTAATCAATGGTGGATTTGTTAATTTCGACATAGGCTGAAGTTGCAACTCCGTTGGTGAGTAGGGCTTCTTTGATTAAAACTTTAGATGTTGAGCAATTATAGAAATACTCATTAGAGCCAGTATAATTAAGCCCCATTTCCTGCAGAAGACGCACAAGACTAATTCCTGGGTAACCATCACCACCCTCTCCATCATCGGTGCCCTCACATAGGTTAAAGAAAATCATGCTATTAATATCATTGTTAAGTTTAAGCTGTGTTAGTTTTTCTGCCATATTGTCTAATGATAAGAAATTTATACAGGTTTCATAGCCACAATTTTTTACATACTGCTCTAATAGTTTATAACCTTCTAGCAATTCTAACTCGTATTTCAAGGGTAATTTATGGGAATCTGCTTATTTACGCTCTTCTGTAAGTTCTTAACATAAGAAATGCACTGTAATAGGTTTCTTTGCAGATTACATTATGTTCTAAGATTTTATGTTTAGTTCTTAAATTAATAATTATGAATATATTAAAGTCTTAAATTAAATTTTTCTTTAAATAAATTTATCAAAATTTGCAAAAACTAAGATCATTTTCTCTACTGTTTTTTCATATTCCTAGCTAGTATTGCTTCAAAAGCTATGTTTGCAGATAATCAAGGCTTTCTTTATATGCATTATTTGATTAAACATTCTTTCTATAATCTATTTTTCATAAAAAATTTATAATTTATGATTTAATGAAAATTATAGTATTCATTTCGAATGGCTTTATCAACTTTACGGGGTTTTGGGGTTTTGGGGAGATCGGAAGAG